TGAACAGGAATGAATGAACTAACAGTGAAATGAGTACAAGTACCTAACCCCAGAATTGTGTACCCCCTAAAGGCTAACCCATTGTAGCCTAAACTAACACAACATATATAATGTTTGACACACCCCCATAGGCGAAGTGGGGAGAACTAGGGGTCACAAGACCAGTCAAGGCAAAGCAAGGCAAAACAAGCTCAGGGTGGATCTCAAGGATACCACACAAATTCCGAGCACAAGCAAGTGGTCACAAGACCAGTTCACATGCAGGTTTAGAATAGAGCAAAAGGTACAATGATCACAACCTAGCAAGAGTAAACATGCAGGTGTATATATAGAGATCACAGTACAAACAGACTCAAGAAGTAAGCAAGTAAGGTCCAGTAGGCACAAGGCCTAGAAGAGTGCAAAAGCGCTGATGGTCACAAGGCTGAAGCGCCTTGGTGAACACATCAGCAGTGTTGGCCTCAGAGGCCACGTAACGCAGGCGAAGCTGACCACGCTACTGCAACTCTCGAGCAAGAAAGTAACGCAGAGCAATGTGCTTCGTTCTCTGCTACAGTCTGTGCTCCTCACACAAGGCAATGGCTGCCTTGTTGTCGACGTACAGCACTGGAGGAGAACGAGGCTGCTCTCCAAGGTCGGTCAGCAAGTAGGTGAGGCAGCGTAGCTCCTGGGCCGCCATGGCTGTGGCGTAGATCTCAGCCTCACAACAAGAGCTGAGAACAGAAGAAGAGCGAGTAGAACGCCAAGAAAGAGAACCAAAGCCAAGACTGAAGGAGTAACCCTGAGACGATCGCTGAGTAGCCTGGTCGTCTCCCCAAGAAGCGTCTGAGTGCCCAGTGAGAACAACTGGGACTCGCCCTCTAAGCACTAGCCCCATGCCCGATGTACTGCACAAGTAGCGCAACACCCTCTTAGCTGCATCCATGTGCTCCTTCCGATGACGGCCGGGAGCGACATAGCGTGCAAGAATGCTGAGAGGGTATGCAAGGTCTGGTCGAGTGCAGGTCATCAGGTACATGAGGCAACCCACAAGCTCTAGATCCGGACCACTCAGCTCTACAGACTCATCCGAAGGTAGAGCTGAGAGCGAGTGACCGGTAGGCAGAGGAGTGGGCTGAGGCGAGGAGTACGTGAAGCGGAAGCGCTGAAGGACCTGCTGCACCATGTGTGACTGAGTCAAGGTGATGGAGCAGAGTGCTCTGTCCCGGGTGATCCGCAAGCCAAGATAGCTTGTCAGTTCACCCAGGTCTGTGCACGTGTGTCTCTTCTGCAGCTCCGACTTCACGTGGGCGAGTGCCACAGTGTCAGCAGTAGCAAAGACCAGGTCGTCGACGTACACAAGGACGTAGAACGACGCCAGTGAGGTGTCGGTGCGTAGAAACAGCGACGGGTCAGCAGTAGAAGGCGCGAACCCAAGAGCCGCAAGCGTAGTCCTCAGTGTGTTGTGCCACTCACGAGGCGCCTGGCGGAGACCGTAGACTGGCCGTCGGAGGCCCCACTGGGTACCAGGAGGGAACGACCCAGTGAAGCCAGGTGGACGGCGCAGCCAGATCTCCTCGTGTAGGCTGCCCTGCAGGAAAGCAGTGCTGAAGTCAAGCGAGTGGAGCTCGTAGTCACGCTGAGCGGCTATGTGCAGCAGAACCTGAAGAGTGGTCATCTTCGGGGTCGGGGAGAAGGTCTGGAAGAAGTCAACTCCCTCTCGCTGACTGAAGTCTCGTGCAACGTAATGCGCCTTGAAGACAGGCGGAGAGCCCGGCGGCCGCTTCACCCTGAAAATCCACATGCCACTGACGATGTTCGCCGCAGGCGGGGGAACCTCCTCGACGTAGGTGCCTGTGGACTTCCAGGAAGCCATCTCTGTGTCCATGGCTGACTGCCACTGAGAGGAGTAGGGACCGGCCATCGCCTCTGCGTAAGAGCGTGGGGTCGGGATGTCTGGTGCATCCGGGTCTCCCTGAGGGGCAACAAGCATGGACACGAGATGGGGCAAAGCGGCAGCAAAGCACTCAAACTCCTCCTGCCTTTCCTCAAGGACGTCAGTGCCAAGAGCACACTCACCCTTGACGGACGGAGGACAGACAGACTCAGACTTAGCAACTAGGCTAGCAGCGTAGTCTAGACGAGAGCGAGCAGCAAAGTCGACAAGCTCGGCAACTAAGGCAGAGGCAGCAGCAGACTCAAAGGAAGGGTCAGTGACAACAGTAGCCAGTAGACGCGTGACAGTAGGACTGGTAGCACGAAGAGAGTCTGACCCAGGGTCAGCAAGAGCAGGAAGAGAGGAAGCAGGAGGAGACGGCAGTGGGACACGCTGTGGAGCAGTGGACGGACGAAGCGCCATCCGGTGAGTGCCTGGGACAGCAGGAAGACGCTGACGCTGGGCTTGACTACTAGAGAGAGCAGTGCGGACAGGCCACTCAGGACGAGACTCAGGCGACGCAGGACGAGACTCAGGCTCACGACCCTCAGTAAGACCTCCAGTCGGACCAGTGTAAGGAGCAGGACCAGAGAGAGAGGAGGCAGACGGTAACTGCGACTGCAGCTGGACAGACGGAGGACATGCGAAGGAGGGAGGAGGACAAGGAGGAGGGAGCTGACCAAGAACCTGCTGAAGGAGTGGAGCGAAGTACGGCCGGGACCGTGCAGCGAAACCAGAGTCAGCAGGGACACCCGTACCAGGGTCCGCAGCACCAGCGGCAACTCCAACACCCGGGTCCTCAGCACCAGCGGCAGCTCCAACGCCCGGGTCTGCAGCACCAGCGGCAGCTCCAACGCCCGGGTCCTCTGCACCAGCAGCAGCTGCAACGCCGGGTCCTCAGCACCAGCAGCAGCTCCAACGCCCGGGTCTGCAGCACCAGGGGCAGCTCCAACGCCCGGGTCCTCAGCACGAGCAGCAGCTCCAACGCCCGGGTCCTCAGCACCAGCAGCAGCTCCAACGCCCGGGTCCTCAATACTAGTAGCAGCTCCAACACCCGGGTCCGCAGCACCAGCGGCGGCTCCAACACCCGGGTCCTCATCACCAGCAGCAGCTCCAACGGCAGCGGGGTCCGCAACACGAGGCACGCCACTCCGAAGAGTGCAGCGCCGCTCGTACCACTCACGGATTTGCTCGCGGGAGGGGAGCTCCCTAATGGGAGAAGAAGCACTAGCACCAGTCCCAGCAGTACGTCCCGCTCGAGCGGTACCTCTCCGTAGGCTGCAGTACTCTAAGTACCACGTATGCAGCTGCTCCGAGGAGAGGGCTCCTTCAGGTGTAGGACTCCCAGGCCCAGTACCTCCAGACCTAGAACCCCCAGACTCCGGACTCTGTAGCTCAGCACCACAAGGCTCCACACCCCCAAGCTCAGCACCCCCAAGCTCCACACCCCCAAGCTCCACACCCCTAGGCTCCACACCCCTAGGCTCCACACCCGCAGGTTCCACACCCCCGGGCTCCACACCCCCAGGCTCAGCACCCCCAGCAGGACGAGAGTCGACAGCTACCTCAACAGGCTCAACCGGGTCTACCCGAGACACACCTGAGGGAGCGGCACCCTGAGGGGGGAGGGGGTCTGCAACAGCAGCACCTGGCGTGAGGAAGAGAGGCGGGGGGGGGAGCGGGGCAGTGCGGTAGGGGAAGAGACGGTAGTAGGGGACGGACTCGTCAAAAGTGACGTCCTGGGAGGGCAAGACTCGGCGCGAGGTGGCGTGGTAAAACTGCCAACCAGACGCGTCCGGGACAAAGCCGAGGAAGACGCAGGGAATAGCATGGGAGGAGAGCTTGTCCGCAGACGTATCGCGGACAAAAGCTCGAGACCCCCACACCCGGAAACGTGATGCATCGCCAACCTCCCCCGTCCACAGCAGCGTGGGCAAGGTCTCCGGCAAGGAGACACGGGGCCAGAGGTTGAGCTGATGCGCAGCGTACCGGACTCCAAACGGCCACATAAAGTGGGGGGCAGCCGCATGGATTAAGGAGGTACGGGCGACCTCCATGACCAGGCCAATGCGGCGCTCCGCAACCCCATTCTCCTGTGGAGAGGCCGGAAGCGTGAACGACTGCTCAATGGCGTGCTCAGCACAGTAGGCTGCCAAGAGGTCGGAAAAGAACTCACCACCTCTGTCAGAGTGCAAGCGTAGGACAGGAAAGTCCGAGTGAAAACGCTCGCTGAGCTGGAGACGAGCTCTGCGGATCCAAGGGATCAAGACATCAGGGACCTCACCCTTGGTGCGCAAGGGGAAGACCGAGGTGTCGTCAACAACTATCAGGAAGTACCTCTCCTGACCCTGACCATGGACGCGGGCTGGGCCCCACACGTCCATGTGGAGCGTCTGCAAGGGAGCAGTCGTCGGGGGAAACGAGGAGGAGTGAGGAGCGGCGCGCTGCCGTCCCTCGACACAGGGGAGACAGGTAGGAGCAGGTGAGGGTGGGAGGGGAGGAAGGACTGTGGGCAGGCCAGAGACAAGGTACCGGGAGTGCATGGCACGAAGCCGCTGCATAGACGGGTGGCCAAGGCGGTGGTGCCAGAGGACAGTCTCGTGTGCCAGAGAGCGACACGAGCAGGGGGCGGACAGCTGACCTGACGCGGACGTGGACGCAGACGCAGCAACCTGAGGGGACTCAGTAGTCAGTGTGTTCAGGTCCGACCCCGGCTGCCGAGTGAAGGTAGCCAAGTGACGGCCCGTATGAGCACACGTGCAGTGTGTCACGCGCTCGTAGGCAGGGGTGAACTAGTGAACACCCCCGTCCTGGAGCGCACATCCTGCCACCAAGTTCGTAGAGAACGAGGGGAGGTGGAGACCTGACAGTGTGCCCGACGGGACCGCAGGACAGGGACGGACAGTGGAAGAGGTCGCAATGACCGGACCCCCAGAGGGGTCAGCAAGGGAGACAGCAACTGGCCGAGCAAGCGGCTCAAGGGCAGTGCGGTCACGAAAGAAGCAGCGAGAAGCACCTGAGTCCAGTGTGAAGGTGTGCAGTGCTGCTGTCGACGCAGTACCAAGGGGGGGAGACACACGAGCACCTAGAGCAGCAGCCTCACCAGCACCTGGGGTAGCCGACACACGAGTACCTGGAGCGGCAGACGCACTGGCCCTAATGCCCGGGTCGGGCGGCACACACAAGTACTCAGCACCCTCTCCACTAGTAGACATCACATACATGGCAGATAGAATAGCATCAAAGTCTAGAGCATAGATATCAATCCCCTTCTTCAGGAGATCAAGCCAGCGGGGCAGCTCAGTGGCCTGAGGGAACTGAACACACCAAGCGTCATCGAGACGAGAGAAGCAGCGCTGTGTGGCGTGCTGTCATCCACACTGCTGACCAGTGCGGTCACCAGTGCGAATGACGTATGTGCAGCTAAGACCACCCCCACCCCCGTGCTGAGAGTACCACTCACGGACCTCCTGGGGCGAAGGAGTGTGCTGCTGGCCCTGGCCACCGCCAGCGCCTCCACGGCCACCACCGCCGCTGCCACCTCCTCGACCACCCCAACCCTTGCCGCCGCCTTGTCCACCGCCACCCCAACCGCCGCCTCCACTCCTGCCACCTCCCCTGCCGCCTCCACTCCTGCCACCTCCCCCGCCGCTGCCGCCACCACCCCCACCGCTACCACTCACCCCTCCAGCCGAGCCACCACCCCCACTGCCTCCACCGCCCCCACCGCCGCTTCCCCCGCCGTCACCGCCACCACCCTTGCCCCCTTTGCCCTTGCCGCCGCGGCGCCCGCTCGAGGCAGACGCAGCGCCGACCTTCTCAGCACCGAGAAGGTCGACAGCAGCAGCAGAGGCGACAGAGGGAAGAAGGGGGGAAGGAGAACACCCCTCAAAGAACGGGGTACGGGGGTCGCCACGAGAGGCACCTACAGCAACTATGCTAGTCTCAGCTGCAAGTAGCTCCTTCTCGAGGAGGGCAATGGTGAGCTCAGTGGGGCAACGAGCTAGGAAGTGGTCCCTGACAGCACGCAGTGTGTCAGGGAGGCGGGTGACTAGGTTGTAGAGAGTGAGCCTGAGTGGAGGGGGGTGCGTGGCAAGGAACTCAGCAGGCATGGCGGCACGGAAGCGGGCCTCACTAGTACGGAGGTGCGTGATGAGGTCAGCGACTGTGTGCAAGGAAGCTAGGTCGGGAAACAGGTAGGGGAGGGAGAGACGGCCTAGTGCGGTAGAGGCAGGTGAGGAGTAGCGAGCAACTACAGCTGTGTACAGTGCGTGTGCAGTCTTGTGCTGACCAAAGTGCTCGCGTTCGTCTATCGGCAGGGAATTGCGAATTGCGAAGCGAGCGTGGGCATCACGAGTCTGCCACTGTGAGCGAGCAGTGCTGTCAGCAATAGCAGCAGGGGCAGTGACATGGCCTAGGGCGTGATGGTACAGTGAGATGTCATCCTTGGCTGTGAGCTGTAGGTAGAGGTGCAGGTCATCGAGCCAGGTGTCAAACTTCACAGGGCGGCCCTCAGCATCAAACACGAGAACCTGTGGGCTAGCCATAGGAACAGTAGAAATAGCAGCAGTAGCAGTAGGAGAAGTAGGTAGGACAAACCAGTGAGGGCAGGGCGGCGCGGCTCGGTTCAGGTCGGGTCGTGCGGTTCGGCTGGGTCGCGCGGCTTGGCTCGGGGCGCGCGGCTCGGCTCGGGGCGCGCGGCTCGGGTCGCGCGGCTCGGGTCACGCAGCTCGGTGCGGTCGCGGGCTGCGGCGGGAACGGGCCGCCCGTGGCCTCTAGGAGCGGTGGGCACGGGTCGGCGAGGTCGGCACGGGGCCGGTTGGGGCCCTAGAGGGGCGAGCGCGGGGCCGATCGGGGCCTGAGCGGGGCGAGCGCGGGGCCGACGGGGCTAGCACGAGGCCGACGGGGCCTGATAGGGGGCTAGCGCGGGGCCGACGGGGCCTGAAACGGGGCCGACGGGGCCTGAAACGGGCTAGCGCGGGGCCGACGGGGCCTGAAACGGGGCCGACGGGGCCTAAAACGGGGCCGACGGGGCCTGAACGGGGCTAGCGCGGGGCCGATCGGGGCCTTAACGGGGCTAGCACGGGGCCCACGGGGCCTGAACGGGGCTAGCACGGGGCCGACGGGGCCTGAAAGGGGCTAGCGCGGGGCCGACGGGGCCTGAAACGGGGCCGACGGGGCCTGAACGGGTCTAGCGCTGGGCCAATCGGTGCCTGAATGGGGCTAGCGCGGGGCCGACGGGGCCTGAGAGGGGCTAGTGCGGGGCGGACTGGGCCTGAAACGAGGCCGACGGGGCCTGAACGGGGCTAGCGCGGGGCCTGAACGGGGCCTTAAAGGGGCCGACGGGGCCTGAACAGGGCCGCTAAGGAGAGCGGGCGTGGGGCCGACGGGGCCTGAACGGGGCTAGCGCGGGGCCGTCAAGAGGGGCCTCTAGGGGCGTGACACGCCGAGGCGCCCTAGGGCACAGGTAGGTAGGTAGGTAGGTAGTTACGTAGTGGTGGGCCCTTAGAGAATTTTGGTCCTTGGAAGGACTTGCTCTATACCATGTTGGAATCACTGAACAGGAATGAATGAACTAATAGTGAAATGAGTACAAGTACCTAACCCTAGAATTGTGTACCCCCTATAGGCTAACCCACTGTAGCCTAAACTGACACAACATATATAATGTTTGACAGGGAGTTGCCATAGCAGCAGGAACAGAAGCAGTAGTAGTAGTAAGGGCAGTAGCAGCAACAAAGGCGGCAATCACACGTCCAGGGCAACAGCGCGGAGCGGGGCAGGTGCACGGGGCAGGGCTCACACGTGTGGGCAGGGCAGGGCAGCCGTGCGTGCAGGGCAACAGCGCGGAGCAGGGTAGGGCAGCCGCGTGTGCAGGGCAACAGCGCGGAGCAGGGCAGGGCAGCTGCGCGTGCAGGGCAACAGCGCGGAGCAGGACAGGGCATCCGCGCGCGCAGGGCAATAGCACGGAGCAGGGCAAGGCAGCCTGTGAGAATAAGCGAACAGGAATGAATGAACTAGCAGTGAAAAGAGTACAAGTAGGAAACCCTAGAATTGTGTACCCCCTATAGGCTAACCCACTGTAGCCTACACAAGCAGAACATATATAATGTTTGACACACCCCCATAGGCAAAGTGGGGGAGAACAAGGGGTCACAAGACCAGTCAAGCAAAGCAAAGCAAGCTCAGGGTGGATCACAAAGTCACCACACAGTCCGAGCACAAGAGCAGGGCCAGAGGCCAGTTCACATGCAGGAGTACAGACATATATATAAAACTAGACAAGCAAGAGCAGGTATATATATATGTCACAGTACAAGTGAAGTCAAGAGGAGAGCAAGTGAGGCAAGACAGGCACAAGACCCAGCTGGGTGCAAAAGCGCTGATGGTCACAAGGCGCGAGTGCCTTGGTGAACACATCAGCAGTGTTGGCCTCAGAGGCCACGTACGCAAGTCGCAACTGACCACGCTGCTGCAGCTCACGAGCAAGGAAGTAGCGGAGAGCAATGTGCTTCGTTCTGTGCTCCAAGCGCTGCTCTCGACACAAGGCCAGCATGGCCTTGTTGTCTACGTACAGCACTGGAGGAGAACGAGGTGGCTCTCCAAGGTCAGTCAGCAGGTAGGTGAGCCAGCGAAGCTCCTGTGCAGCCATGGCCCCGGCGTAGATCTCAGCCTCACAACTGGAGCCGAGAACCGAAGACGAGCGAGTAGACCGCCACGAGACAGAGCCGGAACCAAGGCTGAAGGTGTAACCCTGTGACGACCGCTGCGTAGCCTGGTCGTCAGCCCAAGAAGCGTCCGCGTGGCCGGTAAGGACCACTGGACTCCGCCCTCCAAGCACTAGCCCCATGCCCGACGTACTGCACAGGTAGCGCAATACCCTCTTCGCTGCAGCCATGTGCTCTGGTCTGTGTCTCCCAGGAGCAACATAGCGTGCAAGAATGCTCAGAGGGTATGCAAGGTCAGGTCGTGTGCAGGTCATCAGGTACATGAGGCAGCCAACAAGCTCTGCATACGGACCACTCGACTCTACGGACTCATCCGAAGGCAGAGCTGAGAGTGAGTGGCGAGTAGGCAGAGGAGTGGCCTGAGGCGAGGAGTACGTGAAGCCAAAGCGCTGAAGGACCTGCTGCACCATGTGTGACTGAGTCAAGGTAATGGTGCGGCGTGCTCCGTCCCGAGTGATCTGCAAGCCAAGGTAGCTGCGCAGTTCACCCAGGTCTGTGCACGTGTGTCTCTTCAGCAGTTCGGACTTCACGTAGGCGAGTCCAGCAGTGTCCGCTGTGGCAAAGACCAAGTCGTCGACGTACACGAGGATGTAGAACGGCGGCAGTGAAGTGTCGGTGCGCAGAAACAGCGACGGGTCAGCAGTAGAAGGAGCAAACCCAAGAGCCGCAAGCGTAGTCCTCAGTGTGTCGTGCCACTCACGCGGTGCCTGGCGGAGACCGTAGACTGGCCGTCGGAGGCTCCACTGGGTGCCAGGAGGGAAAGTCCCAGTGAAGCCAGGTGGACGGCGAAGCCAGATCTCCTCGTGCAGGCTACCCTGCAGGAACGCAGTGCTGAAGTCGAGAGAGTGAAGCTCGTAGTCGCGCTGAGCGGCTATGTGCAGCAGCACCCGAAGAGTGGTCATCTTCGGGGTGGGAGAGAAGGTCTGAAAGTAGTCAACTCCCTGCCGCTGACTGAAGCCACGAGCAACGTACCGTGCCTTGAAGACAGGTGGAGAGCCCGGCGGCCGCTTCACCCTGAAGATCCACATGCCACTGACGATGTTCGCCCCAGGAGGGGGAACCGCGTCAACGTAGGTGCCTGTGGACTTCCAGGAAGCCATCTCTGCATCCATAGCTGCCTGCCACTGAGAGGAGTAGGGACCCTCTACGGCCTCCGCGTAGGAACGCGGAGTCGGGATGTCTAGTGCATCCGGGTCTCCCTCAGGGGCAAGCAGTACAGACGCGAGATGAGGTGAAGCAGCCGCTAGACACTGTAACTCCTCCTGCCTGTCCTCTAGGACGTCCGTGCCAAGAGCACACTCACCCCCGACGGACGGAGGACAGACAGACGCAGACTCAGCAACAAGACTAGCAGCGTAGTCGAGACGACAGTGAGCAAGAAAGTCAACGAGCTCAGCGACTAGAGCAGACGCAGCAGTGGACTCAAAAGAGGGGTCAGTGACGACAGTAGCAAGCAGACGCGTGACAGTAGGACTGGCAGCGCGAAGAGAGTCCGACTCAGGGTCGGCAAGCGCAGGAAGAGAGGACTCAGGAGGAGAAGGCAAAGGGGCACGCAGAGGAGCAGTGGACGGACGCAGAGACATCCGGTGCGTGCCAGGGACAGGAGGAGGACGCTGACGCGAACCGCGACCACTAGCGCAAGCAGCACGAACCGGCGACGCGGGACAAGACGCAGGCTCACGACGCTCAGCAAGACCTCTAGTAGGACCAGTGTAAGGAGAGGGAGCAGGCAGAGGAGAGGAAGGCTCCAACAGTGACTGCGACTGGTCAGGCTGTGGACACTCTACCGAAGGAGAAAGACCAAGAACCTGCTGTAGGAGCGGAACGAAGTACGGCCGAGGCCGCGCGGCAGCTCCAGACTCAGCAGGGACAGCACCAGCACCCTCAGCGACAGCACCAGCGCCACCAACACCTCCAGCGGCAGGACCTCCAGCAGCACCAGCAGCAGAACCACCGCCAGGACAGACAGCAGTAGTCTCAGCACCAACACCCTCAGCAGCTCCAGCTCCAGTAGGACCCGCAGGCCCAGCAGCTCCGGGACCGGCAGCACCAGCACCCTCGACGGTCGACGAAGCTCCAGCTCCAGCAGCACTCCTCCAACGGCGAGCAAACCACTCGCGCAGATCCTGTGGAGAGAGGGGCTCCCGGCGAGACGCAGCAGCAGGAGAAACCCCAGGCTCAGCAGCTCCAGACTCAGCACCCCCAGGCACAGCAGCTCCAGACGTAGCACCCCCAGGCTCAGCAGCTCCAGACTCAGCACCTCCAGGCTCAGCAGCTCCAGACTCAGCACCCCCAGACTCAGTAGCTCCAGCTCCAGTAGGACTCGCAGGCCCAGCAGCTCCGGGACCGGCAGCACCCTCAGCAAGCGAAGAAGCTCCAGCTCCAGCAGCACGCCTCCAGCGGCGAGCAAACCACTCGCGCAGCTCCTGTGGAGAGAGCGGCTCCCGCCCAGCAGTCGCAGGCTCCGCACCTCCAGGCTCAGCACCCCCAGGCTCAGCAGCTCCTGACGTAGCACCCCCCGGCTCAGCACCCCCAGCAGCAGCACCCCCAAGCTCAGCACCCCCCGGCCTCGCACCCCCAGGCTCAGCACCCCCAGCAGCAGCACCCCCAAGCTCAGCACCCGCAGGCGTAGCACCCCCAGACTCTGCACCCGCAGCAGGACCAGACTCAGCAACAACCTCGACTGGCTCGACTGTGTCTACCTGGGACACACCTGAAGGGGCAGGAACCTGAGGGGGGAGGGGGTCTACCGGGGGAGGAACTGGCACCAGGAAGTCCGGTGGGGGGGGGAGGGAAGGAGTACGGTAGGGGAAGAGGCG